CTCTCCTCAAAAGTCCAAATGACACAGAAATTTACAATTATATGTCACTTTAAACTTCTTTACGTGGTAAGATGACAACATAAATTGCCCAAAATCAGGTAAAAATTAAATTGCAGTGGAAGCTTTATATGTTTTGGAAACATTTTTCAATTTCACATTAAAAAACTAAAGCTATAATAAATTTGAAACATATAGATAGTATGTCCCCATAGATAGTCTAGCGGATATGCATTAAAAAGCAACTACCAATAGATCAAAGATTATAGGTTTTGTGTGTGTGTTTTTTTTTTTTTTATTTCAAAGTATATATATAGGTGGCACATTCCCTTCAGACATTATCACGGTTTTTCAATTCATGACATCGTCCTGAACATGCATGGAATTTTTGCCACTGGACATTAAGCAACCAACAATCAATCAAGCAATTCATGAGGAAATAGAGCAATTCCTTAAGAAAGGTAAAAAAAATCATCAATTTGTCTTAATTTCCCTTCACAAGATTTCATAGTACACACTTTTTTGTATGCAAAGTAATTGCATGGATGATAAATTACCACAATTATACGATAGCGTTGTACTCTAATCAAGGTATTAAGGACCAAATTTGTTACTCTTTATCTAAATGAAAGAAACTTGAAATTGTCAAAAAAAAATTTTAGATCCAAAGATTTTAATAGCAGGATATTGAAAAATCCCTGTGAGCACTAATTACAAACTATTTAATTCAATTTGGGACACAGCATTTTATTTCAAAATAGCCAGCGGCAATTTTTATTTTAAAATCTTGATTACGATACAATGAAATCTTACCCTTGTGGTCATTCATGCGTAGTTACTTAGTACACGGAAAAAGTATGTAAATACTATGAAAATTAGAAGGCAAATTCAAGCATTTTGATTGGGCGAAAAGTTGCAAGTAGGTGCTAATGACTATGTAAATGTTTTCCTTGATACCATTGCTATTCAAATATATCGCGATTCCATCGAACTATTTCTTTCACTTTGTGAAGATCGTGTAACATGAAGAAAAGCATTTAGGAAAGGGAGTAGCAGTGAAACCCATTTTATCCAAAGTTTGTCAAAATATGCAACAGAGGTGACTTTCGATTTAATTGATGTTTTCACAAATTTTAGTGCGCCCCATAAACTGCAAAAAGAAAAAGGTCGTGAATTAATAGCTTTGGTTATATCCGAGTTTAAACTAAAGTTGCCAGAACTAATGACTCTGTTTTATGTAGTTGACATTTTAAACTTCAATTCTTATCATGTACCAAATGTATTTTTAACTTGAAGTAAATATCTTGTTATTTACTCGCATATACATTTTAGGCATTAAGATTAATTCTACCCACCCCCTATACCTCTAGCCACTGTAGAATAAACAAACACACAGCACATGAAATATTTGCCACTGGCAAACACCAATACTTCCGGGATGATGGATATGATTATTATATTTTCAATTTCTAAATTAGAAAAAAAATTCAACTTTGATCGATTTTACATGTATATAAAGCAAAAAGTAAATTTAAGTGCATTCTTTTCTATTAAAACAACACAGGAGTAAGGAAACACAAGAAATTATAATTATAGCCTTCATAAAGTCATTTCATTTTCTTCCACAGAATAATTAAAAGCATAGGAGACTGGAGATGAAATAGGAACCTTCTATGTGAAAGTTAAGGACCTGTAGTGTACAGAAATATGTCTTAATATGGCACTCATCAGAAAAGATAACATTTACGAAACAAGCAATTCCGAATTTCGTACAAGTACCAAAACATAAAAGATGGATGCTTATACTGAGTTCATATTAGAGCTAACGCGTCATCTGGACTAACCAATCTAGCAAGAAATATCACATGTGAACTAAAGACTGCGAGATTAATACTATGTGGTTCCTGTGCATATGTTAAAAATTAAAAAAAAATATTAAAATTAAAATAAGATTAAAGTTTTAATCATTGCAATTGTCCACAGCAATCATGGAGAAATACAGTTGACATGTACGTTTTTTAACGGTACAAGAAATTGTTGATGATAGTCAACATGTTTTAAAAGTATAATAAGTACATGTATACATATCTGACAATACACCTGAAATCTCTGCAATACTCGTATTCACACCCATTAGCAGAAAACCTTATCAGATAAACACAAATGGTAAAATTAATGAAATACCCTGTCAGGTGTAGGTATTTGATTCAGAAGAACGTTTTCTTGCATTTTCTGAAAGCGACAAAATAAAGTATAATATCAGATTATGCAATCAGTAATAGTTTAAGGCTTGCGTAATTCCAACCTTAAAAAAATCACTAGAATCACTTCTTCACATTCAACTTGGGATTAATTGATTTAATCATTTGAAACATGTCTTAAAGTTATTTAACATATATTATTTAAGCGACAAAATAATTTTTGAATGGTAATGCAACATAAGATCGCTTGTTAAGTAATATGGTACATGTAATAGAGGAAGCACAAAATAAATATTATTTACATCAATGTACATCTGGTATTGTACCAGAACCAGAATACTGTTTACAAGTATAGACAACCCATACTTTAAAATGAATATATATTCATCAAAAATAGATCGTGTAGATTAAGTCATTTGAAAGTAAGAAAATTCTTTGGAACTAGTAGGTTTTACGTATTAAAACACACAAGTTTTTCTCAGTAAGTATTTGAAAAGTATATTATGGTCAGAAATATAGATATTTATGCATCAGGATCGGTCACGCTTATCTTGTGGTATTAAGGAATCATATATATATTTAATACATTCATATTAAAATACAAGCCACACCCAATCTGTTAAAATAGTAAAACAAATTAACCAAAGCGTATTTTTAAATTTAAATGTTCATTTTTATGGAACAGTGATTGAATGTGAACTACCTAATTCTTTTGTAGACGAAACGAGCGTCTGGCGTATAAAACTGTTATCCGGTGTCTATGATGAGTGTATTATTGGTCAGTGTAGATCAGTTCTTCGTAAATGACTAATACGACTGCAACAAATTACAAATTCAAAGTTCGGACATTCATTCCGATTGAACGAAATGAAATATAATACTATACTGACCGAATTTAGAAACGCAACACTAGATTATTCTTTTAAAATTTTTGAATGAATGTGGCACCGTCAAAATCAATGACTGCCTGTAACAGATTGTCAGAAAGATCAACCAATTCTGTTCCACATGTTTTTGGTTCTGTTTTACACCTTCTGAATATGTGTTTGTTCCACCAGTTACAATGGGTTTTGGCAATTATGCGGTTGAAACTTCAGGGCTTTAAATGTTTTTCTTCTGTCGATTCTTTGGCAGTTCAGGTTATGGGAAACGTTTATGGCATGAATCTGTGCGCAATGGCATTCGGCAATTTGATAAGCAGTTGACGTTGCGGCCGTAAACATGTCTCGCAAATGACGTTGCGTAATCAAATTCTATTGACGTTACATTGTCACTACATGATGATCTGGTCATTGATGGTCAGCAACAAATCTCGTCTACCTGTATCGTTGTCGGAAGGACAGTAAGACGAGTTTCTGAAGTCAAACTGTATGGTTGCATCACGTTCACGTTTTCCTGTTTGCAGTATTCTTATGGGCTGATTCAGTTTTTTATTCCTTAGTCTTGGCAATATGGAGATGCAACATTTTTTAACTGATTTAAGTGTGGCCAAGGATTGAAAGAACTGTTTCACGAAGCAAAACAAACAGAAAATATCTTTTATGGGTTCCAAATTTCGCTTTAAGAAATTCGTGCGACTTCAAAAATCCGGTATGTTCAATAACCACAGGTAAGTCAGATGTTGATTTTTTCTTAAGAGAAAGAAGTATGGTAAGCATTAATAGTAGTTGCATGAGAATCAAACATGATGTGGAAAAAAAAATCAACGAAATGAGTGTTGCGTTTTTAAAGTCATACAGTATAATAGTAGTTGTAAAAATGTTTAAACATTTTTTGTATTCATTGTTAACGACTGGAGACAAACAGTTTGTATTCAAGATATTTAAGATTTAAAAGAAAACGAAAAAAGATTGTTCTTACACATGTTGAATCAAGATCTCCCTTGTGATAAAATAGTAAGTTCTTGGTGAATAAAATTTCCAAAAGATGTGTAAAAAATCTTTCGGTATTTGTTAACACATTACAAATCTAAGCTTTCGATTTTCTCCTAGGGGTAATTTAGATTTTTCGGTTTGAAAAAAAAAATCTAATATGTTGAAACAAGGCTTCATATTTATAGAATAGCATTCTCTGTCATGTATTTCAGATGATATAAGACAAATATGTATTCTGAGTAATAAAGTATATCCATAGATTGATTCCTCTTTAATGACTGGCAATCGAAAGTTTAGGTTTCTTCTCAGGGTAATTCAATTTTGAAAATGAAGGTTTCCTGTTTAAAGTACAATAACACTTTTAAAATTAATTACTACAGTTAAATTTGTTATGAATCATTCTTTCAACTTGACTACGAATGACTACAATTCGTCAGTATCAAGCTGCCAGATCAGATATCTTCCTTAAATTTATAGATATCGAGAAAAAAACAAAACTTGTCCTTAAAAAACAATGTTAAACAAATCACAAAATACATGTAGCTACTTGTTATTTGACTAAAGCAAATTTCATAACGAGTCATGCCTGTGTCTGTGTGATCTTCATTTCTTTCAAGCGAATTATTACTTAAGACTTAAGGATCTAAATAGTGATAGAGACCAAATGTAATCAGCTCTAGATTAGGTTAAGGAAAAGATAGAACTGGTTATATGTAACGAATAGGTTTTCCCATTCAGTATTTAATATATTGTTTAAAAACACAAGAAAAAACACTAAAATCTATATGTTTTCTTTCCTGTCAATCATATCCTACATGTATGTATTAAAGTCAATTATAAACATTACTTGACAGATGTCATTGATATTGTATTTACTATGTAATGTAAGTACATTTTAGTTGTTAACGCTTCCTTCGATTAAACGTATTATGTACAAGATGTTTCATCAGTGTTTCGTGTGTATTTTTCTTATATCTGATTGTATTGCAATCAAGACAATAATGAGAACAAAAACAGGTATAATTGAAGGATTTACTCAATCTGTTTTAAATAAGGAAGTCAAAACATTCTTAGGCATACCCTTTGCTGAACCACCGACTGGTGACCTACGTTTTCAGGAGCCGTTACCAGTAGATAAATGGCTAAACATAAAACAAACGAAAGCTTTCCAAAAAGCATGTTCACAACCTGCAGCATTCGGCACGGCTGTTCCTGTTGAAAACCAAAGCGAAGATTGCTTGTATTTGAACGCCTGGGTGCCCCATGGAGGATGTAAAAAGAAACATGCCATGATTTGGATATATTTTGGAGGTTTTATTGTCGGTGATATCCAACGATTTGACGGCAAGGTTCTCGCTGCGTCTGCAGACGTAATTGTTTTTACATTAAGTTACAGAACTGGACCGTTGGGATTTCTATATTTAAACGACACCGCGGCACCAGGTAATATGGGATTAATGGACCAAGGGCTTGCAATAGAATGGATATATAATAATATTAAAAGATTTGGAGGAAACAGGAACAAAATAACTTTATTTGGGCAAAGTGCTGGTGCGGCAAGTATAAACTACCATATGTTTTCTAGCGTTACACAACAATACTTTCAGAAAGCAATCATTATGAGTGCTGCAGCTGATTCTAGTTTCGCTTATCATTCACCAGACGTTGCACTAGACACCGGTGTGGCATTTGCCACACAAGTTGGGTGTAAGGAGTCAACAGTAGAGGGCACTTTGCAGTGTTTACGGTCCCTAAATGCATCCACGTTATCAGCATTACAATTACCACCAAACCCAAAACCTCCGGTGTTTTTTAGATCACATTTACCAACAGTAGATGCACTCTCATTTGTTTCTAAGCCACCAGCTGAACTTTTGAAAGACCCCTTTAGTATACGTCCTATTCCACTTTTAGTCGGGGTTCTTAAGAATGAGTTGTCGTTCTTTATAACATATTTTGTTGGTGTGTTAAAGATACCTATAAACGTACTAGATGGAATTATCACCAAAGAAGAGTTTTTCGATTTAATTCCTCTTTCCATAGACGCAAGTAACGAAACCTTGAATGCCATAGCTAACTATTATCTTGCTCCTTATATGCCTGGAGAACCACCATCATACATTGATGTTCTTAATGACATAGGTGAGTGTGTTGGATGTATGTGCAATCAGGTATTACCACATAATTTTCTAGCAGTTTAATTAAAAGAAGATTTTTTTGTATTTAACGGAAATGTGAAAGAATCAATGTTACATAGTTTACTAAAAAAAATATTCCAATTTTGTTTCCTCCACAAGAGTATCACCAGCCTAGTCCTGTGTTGACATGAATGATTATTGATGTCAAATTTATAAATTAGGGAGCTAAAATTTCATTTTTAGGAGGGGGTGGGTTAAAATGAAACATGTTGTCCTGCATTCATTGTTAGTTGTCATCTCTGTCCTGCCTTTTTATTTTTCACTCAATTCGGTCCTGCCTTTTTTTATTAGTTTGTCCTAACTTTTTTTACATAAATTGTCATCCTACCTTTTTTTACTCAAAAGTTCTTTCCTGCCTTTTTTCAAATTTCATCCTAGCCCCTACCCATCCCTCCTCCCCCATACAAATCAAACGGTAGCTCCCTTAACTGTTTACAATCTTTTAAAATTTTGAAAAACCAAAGATTTTCTACCCGAAAAACCTTTCAACATTTTGGGTCATCGATGCTCTTTTAATTCGTACCTTATTTTGCCTTTTACTTTTTTTTTCTTGCGTCACTGATGAGTCTTTTGAAGACAAAATGCGCGAATGATGTACACAATCATTAACCTGGTATATTTGATGATTGTTTTTACTATGTCTTATTTCTATTTGTATTGCTGTTCATCATGTCATTGTTTCACGCATGTTATTATTTGATTCGTGATTTAAAACTTTGCAATGAAAGTGATTGTATTTGCATTAATTTCTAAATTCTTAATACATTTAATTTCAGGTTCAGATCTTAGCTTCCGATGTCCAGTTATAGATATCGCTAAGACATTTACCGATATGTATAGACGAAATCCAGTTTATATGTACCTTTTCGAGCATAGATCTACAAAAAGTCCAACTCCGCCGTGGTTTGGTGCTTTCCATACATCTGAAATTAGTTACGTGTTCGGTGACCCGCTGATAGACGACGTCAGGTTTACTGAATCGGACAAGGTTGTCAGTAAAAGAATGATGAGTTACTGGACCAATTTTGCTAAAACTGGGTAAATATATCGTATTAAATAATATTGAATCGTTATATCTAAGATTAATTGATTAAAGATACATACACATTGCGACTTACAAGACCTATTCACGGAGTCTGATTTTCAATATGCTTACTCATCTACACCATTTGCTGGGAAAAGGCTTTAACAACCTAACAATGACATGAGAAAGGCTTTAACAACTAAAAGTCACATGGGAAAAGTCTTTCACAACCTAATCGTCATCTTGGAAAAGGCTTTAATAACTTTACAGTCACCTGGAAAAAGGCTTTAACAACATAACAATCACATGTGAAAAATATTTCACAACCTAACAATGACCTGAGAAAAGTCTTTAACAACCTAAAAGTCACATGAGAAAAGGCTTTAACAGCCTAACCATCATCTTTGAAAAGGCTTTAACAACCTAACAGTGACCTTAGAAAGGGCTTTCACAACCTAAATATCACCGGGGAAAAGCTTTCACAACCTAACAGTCACATGGGAAAAGGCTTTCATAACCTAACATTCACCTTTGAAAAGACTTTAACAACCTAAATGTCACCTGGGAAAAAGCTTTCAAACCTAACAGTCACCTTGGAAAAGACTTTCACAACCAACAAGTCACATTTGAAAAGACTTTAAAAACCAAACAGTCACCTTGGTAAAGGCTTTCATAACCAAACATTCACCTTGAAAAAGACTTTAATAACCTAACAATCACCTGAGAAAAAGTTTTAACAACATAACATTCACCTGGGAAAAGGCTTTAACAACCCAACAGTCATTGGAGAAAAGGCTTTCACAACCTAACATTCACATTTGAAAAGACTTTAACAACTTAACAGTTACCTTGTAAAAGGCTTTAACAACCTAACATTCACCATGGAAAAGGTTTTTACACAAAACAGTCACATTTGGAAAGCTTTCACAACCAAACAGTCATCTTGGAAAAGGCTTTTAAAACATAACAGTCTACTTGGTAAAGACTTTCACAACCAAGCAGTCACCTTGAAAAAGGCATAAAGAACCTAACAGTCACCTTGGAAAAGGCTTTAACAACCTAACAGTCACTTTGAGAAAAGGTTTTAACAACTAACAGTCATCTTGGAGAAGGCTTTAATAACCTAACAGTCACCTTGGAAAAGTCTTTAACAACCTTACAGTCACCTTGGAAAAGACTTTAAAAACTCAACATTCACCTGAAAAAAGGCTTTACAACATAACAGTCACTTTGGAAAAAGGTTTTCACAACCTAACAGTCACCCATGGAAAAGTCTTTCACAACCTAATAATTATCTTCGAATAGGCTTTATCAACCTAACAGTCACTCGAACAATTGAAAAACTCATTAAGTCAAAGATAAAACCCCGGAACGTGAAAAGTCATAAAACATTATCAAATGGACACAGGATTCAGTGATTTTAGAATTCACAGTACTTGAGGAAAATGTTACTAAAATTTGAAGAAAAAAAAAACCAGTCGTTTATATAGTTATCATATATCACGAGGCCCAATAGGATATGTCATCTTCATCAGAAAAATCTGATGATGCTTTTTTTAACTAAAGTAAAACCTATCAAGTTAGGTATTTCTTTTACATTATTCTCGATACGAAGTTTTTGTCTTGATAGAATATAAAAATAAGGAGATGTGGTATGATTGCAAATGAAACAACTATCCACCAAAGTTCGAATGAAGTGAGTGTCAGTAGTTATTTGCAACCGTATGGCCTCCAACAATGACACAAACTCATACCATGTAGTCGGCTATAAAAAGCCCCAACACAAAAAAAAAAACAAAAAAAACCGAAACAATTCAATCGAGAAAACTAACGGCCTAAATTATAGCAAAATAATTTACGAAAAACATATATGACAGACATGACCCAACGACAACCACTGAGCTACAGGCTCCTTACTTGAGACAGGCATACACAGACTGTGGAAAGGTTATACATGTTTGTGAGCACTCAACCCTCCCCTCTTTCTAATAACAGTTTTGTATTGTAGGAATCCCAATTTCAAGGATGATAAGTGTACCTGTAATGACTGGAATTTATATAACAATTACGACCGGAAATATTTAATTATCGATAGCGACTGCCCACAAGATGGTGAAGCACTACGGGAATTACAGTGTGCTTTTCTAAAGAAAGTGACAGTTAACGATTAAAGAAAAGAGTAAAGTATTTGAAAGTTGCGACCCTCAGTCGAGGATTTGAATGAAGTTTTGTAACATTTAGTCATATGTCAATGTATTTGATATTCATAGAATGTTCAAATAAAAACATGTATTACATCTTGAAAACGTTGACTCAGATTGCGACTCATTTTGGTCATTGACTTATACTATTAAACGTCGGATTGACAGCGGACGTTATCAAGTCAAATGCTATGTTTCAATGTATCTCCCTCTTGCACAGCTCTAATTCCTTTGGCGGGTTTGTCTTTAATTTGATGTAGGTCCTTCTTTGTATTTATCAGTTCTTCAACGTTGTTTTTCTATGGTGATTGAATTTCAAATATGTTTGGTCTCTAGCATCACTGAAGATACATTGATTGTCGTTATGCGCATCTGGTGCAGTACAATTGGTACTATTAATGTTATTTCATGGGAACAATACATGTAACATAAGCTTCCGCAAGTCTTAAGTCATGCTATCTTAATATGATGTTCTTTAGACAATATAGATTGTGATCTTTGATGATATATGTATAACTTAATTTCAACTTTCTTAGTCTTTGGATGATTTAGGAAAAAAAACAAACAAATAAACAATACAAAACTAAAAACTGAACATGATTTGTTTTGTTTTTTTTTTTTGTTTTTTTTTTTTTTCGTGTGATCCGAAGAGTCTTGCCAAAATCAAAATTCATATAGTTTTTCATCAATCAGAACTCGAGGTTACGCAAAATGTATATATGGAAATTGACCAGGTCACAGGGGAATTAATCCTAAAGGCATAATATCTGACATTGCCTTTAATGATCTAAACGGGTTGGGGAGGGGTAGGAGGGTGCTGATCTTTTGGATTGTCAGTTTAACTAAGTTTCGAAGATATTAAACTAGTATTGATGAACCAACTGTTAATATGTCGAATTCAGTGTTATCAATCGCTTTGTCAACTTATCAAAATTACGTTTTACTTGACTGTTATCATGGTGTATCTCAAGTTGAAATAATATTGCCAACAAAATTTTACATTCCTTGATGTATTTATCATCACAATCCGTACTCTTGTAAAATGTAAAAAAAAAAAAACAACAACAACAATAGTGTATTATAACTCGGGTAAGAGCTTGTTTTACTCTTGATATTGTAAAGAAACCTATCTATTGTTGATGTTGTATGTCTTCCAGGTCTCTTTTAGCTACACTTGTTGCAATATCGTTCACAATTATACAACAGTTACCACCGCATTTTACTGTCTATAACAAGTCAGGAATATGGCAGTTCTTTTCCACTCGTTCCATTGGTTGATAACATTGGATTTTTTCAGTTTTTATGGACTTCACCTTTTTTGAATTATTGAAAGATAAATCCCAAATTCTTGTCTTGAAATATTTAATGACTGTTTACACCAGCTAATTTTTAAGATTTGACATTGTTTTTTACTATGGATTTTCTACTAAATATAGGTTATTTAGGAAATGACTAGTTTATTTTATTAATTAGGGTATTTCTGCATCGCTGCTTCATTTGTATATAGTAAGTCTACCTTGAATGTTTGACATGATACCTACAATAAGACAACGTTTATTCTTTCGCTGACCTAAACCTGTAATCGTTTTACAGGATTTTATGTTCAATTATTGCAGTAAGCAGGTTTTCAACAAAATATCAATATGATTTTGTATAGAAAGTTGCACTCAACATGCAACTTCTATGAAACTCTGATTATCCAGTAAAATATGGAGCAATGAAAAGTTTTTAAATTAAGTTGTTTATGTGTTGTGATAAAACAAAGTATTATTTCGCAATATGTGTTAACACTTTGATTCTTTCTTTGAAATATTATTCAATTGTTCCATAAAAATTAAAATACCCTTTGTAGTGCTGGCTTAATGATTAGAGTAATATATATTAAAGGCATTATTGTGTCATGGAAGGATTTAAAATATAATATTTCCCCTTACCGGTATGAAATTCCTATCAAATATACTGATTAATAGTATGTCAACAACATTATTTGGAAATAAATATGAATATAAGAGGAGATAAAGGTATAAATTAACGAGTTAGTTTTCTCATTCGAACTTTTCATGGCAATAATATCAGATATAAACATAAAAAAACTTGCAAATCAACGCCGACACCTTGAAATTATAAAAACTATTGTATTCCCCTAGTTCATAAAGCAAGTTCTCGATTTGCACTTTGTACACATGGTGAGGTCTAGGTTGTTAATCAAATTCTTGATTAGCTATTTGGTACAAGGAACAATGTATGGCTTGCACATCAACACTTGGTTCAACATTTACTTCAGATGATTAATTTTTCCATGATTATGACAATAACATTATTTTACTTATGGTCCTTGTATTGTGGCATGATCTATGAAGCGTAAAAGCATTATTTTATTATTTGTCACTTTAATTGTTGCTTAAACATGTTGATATAATGTTAGGAAGAATGAGAGCAACACCAGATGTCGATTTTTATATCCAAGGACGGACGAGGATAAACTTTTGCACAAAGAAACACCTAAAAGCAACAAGAACAAAACTTACAACGAGCATTATCTACCTAATTGGTGCTAAAGGAGACAACCCAAAACATGAGAAAAATTGATGTGAAATAAGTATTGGCAGTGTTTAAATCAATTTGAAAGTGTTTTTTTTTTCTTCAAGAAACCGTCATGATGAGTGATTAAGTTATTGTATTTGAAGGTGACTTTAATAAAATGTTTTTGTGTAATTGTCATTTGTTGTTTCGTTGTTTTTTTTTTCATATGAAGAGAATAATTGTGTGAATTGATTGGTTTTTTTTTTGCAGTTCTTGAACTATTTTTACCTGTAAGAACCAATTATTCTACCTTCAGCTGTCCAATATTTTTAAGAAAGAGGAGGGTTATTTTTAAAAATATTGGACAGTTAAAGGTAACATAATGGTTTCTTACAGGTAAATGAAATTCTAATCACTGAAATAAAGAACGGGTACAACAATAGAATGACGTCACAACAATGTTTTAAGCTTACGTTTAAAGAAAATTGTTCACCGGCTTCAACATTGTGTTCAACGTTTGAGTTTTGTCTTGTCAAAGTAGTTAACAACAGGTTTTGTCGATTGGTATGCACTATATCTGTGCATTTATATCACATGAAATTAATGTTGAACTGTCCATGGTCCAGTAAAACTCCTCTTATCTTTTTGATACTAGTTAAAACATTTTTTAAGGAATTTTTAGGGGGTATTAATCTCAAGGTGTAAAAACTTTAAGCTCATGAAATAATTCCACAGTTACAGTGATACTTAAGTATGTACAATAAATTATGGGGCAATTTTCAGTGCATGTGGTAACACTAGTAAACGCTTTCTGATACTATCTAAGTGCTTGCAGCATTCGTTTTTGAAGTTTTATTGGTTATTGTTCGAGTCTTTCAAACAACATTTTCCTATGACAGAAACATGTATTATTTGGTAAGATAATCGTTAATATGAGCATAGAACTAATACTTTGTATCAAGGTCTTTCAATGTAAAAAGTAAAATAACAAAAATATCGAATTTCAAGGAAAATTCAAAACGGAAAGTCCTTTATAAAACTGGTTTTATAGCTAGATCAACCGCTCATTTGTATGACAGTCGCATAGAATTCACATATGAAGGAAAATAACATGAGATCTTTTTCCCTCCATCTGTGAAAAAAATGCGTTGCATTTCAGTAAAAAACATGCGATCTGGGTTAATTGTAAGCACGTTCATTGTAGTAGTCCATCATGCATTGCAACTCATTAATCTGAATGGTCAATGACTCGACATGTAAAAATTAAATGAGTATTATGTTAACAAACAATGATATTGGCGGGCAAACTAGTATGCTAGATTATGCATACCCGTATAAAGTAGTGTACCCGACCTGTTAAAGGTGCATTCAAATTAATAGGTTCTTTTTTGAAATAAAAATCATGATTTTTATTAACAACAAACCTTTCGTAAGATCGGATCAAATGCATTATAGTTTTCCCGATGTGATATTTAATATTTAGCTTATAACAGAATTATAATAAACAATAATCTATATGTTGCCTTTCCTATCGATTATATCCTGCATGCATTTATCAAGTTAATAACATTAAATAACGGATGTGACAGAGTCGTTGGCACTGTAATTATCTAAATTTGAATTGTTAGCGCTGACGTCGATGAAGTTTGTTATGTACAAGAAGTTTATTCAGTATTACAAGTGGATATTTCTTTTATCTGATTGTATTACAATCAAGACAATAATAAGAACGACAACAGGCACAGTTGAAGGATTTACTCAATCTGTTTTAAGTAAGGAAGTCAAAACATTCTTCGGCATACCATTTCTGAACCACCGACTGGTGACCTACGTTTTCAGGAGCCGTTGCCAGTAGATAAATGGCTAAACATAAAACAAACGAAAGCTTTCCAAAAAGCATGTTCACAACCTGCAGCATTCGGCACGGCTGTTCTTGTTGAAAACCAAAGCGAAGATTGTTTGTACTTGAACGCCTGGGTGCCACAAGGGGGAACAAAAAAGAAACATGCCATGATTTGGATATATGGTGGCTTTATTGTCGGTGATATTCAACAATTTGATGGCAAGGTTCTCGCTGCGTCAGCAGACATTATTGTTTTTACATTCAGTTACAGAACTGGACCGTTGGGATATCTATATTTAAACGACACCGCGGTACCAGGTAATATAGGATTAATGGACCAAGGACTTGCAATAAAATGGATATATAATAATATTAAAAGATTTGGAGGAAACAGGAACAAAATAACTTTATTTGGGCAAAGTGCTGGTGCGGCAAGCATAAACTACCATATGTTTTCTAGCGTTGCGCAAAGATACTTTCAGAAAGCAATCATGGTGAGTGCTGCAGGTGATTCAATGTTTACTTATCATTCATTCACCAGAAGTTGCATTAGACACCGGTATTGCATTTTCCACAGAAGTCGGTGTAAGGAGTCAACAGTAGAAGGCACTTTTCCACAGAAGTCGGTGTAAGGAGTCAACAGTAGAGGGCACTTTGCAGTGTTTACGGTCTCTAAATGCATCCACGTTATCAACATTACAATTACCACCAAACCCAAAACCTC